GTACATTTTGACTCATCCCTTCCACTCCTGTGTCTTTTTTTTTTTAAAGATTTATTTGTTTATTTGAAAGTCAGAGTTACACAGAGAAAGAAGGAGATGCAGAGAGAGAGAGGAGAGAGAGGTCTTCCATCTGCTGGTTCACTCCTCAGTTGGCTGCAATGGCTGCAGCTGCGCCAATTCGAAGCCAGGAGCCAGGAACTTCCTCCGGGTCTTCCCATGTGGGTGTAGGGGCCCAAAGACTTGGGCCATCTTCCACTGCTTTCCCAGGACATAGCAGAGAGCTGGATTGGAAGGGGAGCAGCCGGGTCTCAAATTGGTGTCCATATGCAATGCCAGCACTGCAGACAGCAGCTTTACCTGCTGCGCCACAGCGCCAGCCCCTCCTGTGTCTTAAGATCTCAGGTGTCTCTCTCAAAGTAGCTCCATTTCACAGCCATCTGTCAGGCCCACGGTGTTCACTCTGCCCCTACATGGCTCTGCTGGTTACCTTTCCATGATGCTTGATCCACCACTCCTAAAATGAGTGGAACTTAATCACTGTCTGCCCCAAGCCTCTGTTTTAGTGCCTGATACATACAAGGGAATGAATGAATGATTGTTGATTGGCTGACTGAATGAAAGAATGAACAAATGAAACTTCCTTTAACCCCCTCTAATACCTGTTTTTATACCGTACCATGACAACACAGTGATCTAGCTACTCAGGAATGATTATATTGAATATATCAGCATTTAGCTTCTAAGTACTTCAAGAAATTCTAGTGCTTAGTTTTGATGATTGATTCATCTGTTTATTGTTTTGATTGTGCGGGTGTGCGCAGCTGTGTTTAAGGAGGGATGACAGTCACTTGCTGTTTCTGTCAGTGTGCCTCCTCCTTCTGTTAGTGTGGCAGAGGTGGAGAGTGTGGCCTGCGTCTCCAGACCTGGCTGCACGTCTTACCTGTCCATGCCCATCAACCTCTGCCTGTGAGTTCATTTCACTTTGAAGTTGTTATGATATGAAAAAGTTAAGCACAGATTTCAAAAGGTTTCGCATTAAAATAAATGTGTGTGTGTGTGTGTGTGTGTGAATGATTAGAGAGACATGGAAAGAAAGATTTAAACAGACAGCTCTCCAGGCCAAGCTTACGGCACAGCTGGTTGGGCTGCTGCCTGCAACACTGGCTTCCTGTATGGGCCCTGGTTCAATTCATGCTGCTCCACTTCTGAGCCAGCTCCCTGCTGATGTGTCTGGGAAAACAGTAGAGGATGGCCCCAGTGCTTGGGCCTCTGCCACTCATGTGGAAGACACAGGGGAAGCTCCTGGCTTCTGGCTTCAGCCTGGCCCAGCTCTGGCCATTGGTGCCATCTGAGGCACTAACCAGTGGATGGAAGATCTTTCTCTCTGTGTCTTTCCCTCTCTCTCTGTAATTCTGCCTATCAAATAAATAAAATTTTAAAGAAAAGTCATTAAGAAAATTAAAAATGGTGGCAGGTTGAAAAAGCTGACGCTATTCTCTGTAGATGATTAGAGCAGAGAAGAGTGGGGGAGGTTGTGAGGTGGTAGGGGACAGTTAGTGTCAGCCTCAACACTCATTTCCACTTTGTTGGCATTATTCTTAGAGACAGTGGGATTCTAGACTGAATGATCCGAAGTGGAAGATGATAGCAATGGGTTAGATAGTAGGCAGGATGTATTCACAGAGAACTGGAGCCAAGATGCCTGTGAGGAGACTGTTGCAATAATAGTGACCTACACTTAGGGAAGTGTCGGAGATGACTGGAGAGAAGTAGATGCACGTCACAGCTACTTAGGAGGTAGCATCTTCCTCAGCTGCCATTGCTGTTCAGTATCAGCGTGAAGCAGGTGATAATTAAGGTGGACATTAAGGTGGAAACATTTCAGTCATAGATCTGTTCTTTAAGACAATGTATCAGTAAATTGCATGGACCTATTTACTTCTCAACAAAAATTCTTGACGTATGTAAATATGTGTCTTAATTTAATCCCAAACATATTTAAGTAGTTACAGTGTCTGAGAAAATCCTGTCATATCCCTCGGCTTCATCCTTTTTTTTTTTTTTTTTTAAAGTTTTTATTTTATTTGAGAGGTAGAGTTACAGACAGTGAGAGGGAGAAACAAAGAGAGAGAGGTCTTCCTTCTGTTGGTTCACCTCCCAAATGGCCGCCACAGCCAGAGCTGTGCCAATCTGAAGCCAGGAGCCAGGCACTTCCTCAGCTCTCCCACGTGGGTGCAGGGCCCAAGCATTTGGGCCATCTTCTACTGCTTTCCCAGGCCATAGCAGAGAGCTGGATTGGAAGAGGAGCAGCCGGGACTAGAACCGGTGCCCATATGGGATGCTGGCACCGCAGGTAGAGGATTAACCTACTGTGCCACGGTGCCGCTGGCCCCTCAATTTCATCCTTGGTAGCAGTTAGCAGAGTGTTATTGATAGCGATGTGTGTTTAAACCAAATTCTGATTCCAGAAGTATAAATGCTTGGCCCTGTCTGTTCCACCAGTTTACTGATGAGTGTGGCAATAAATGAGAATGCTGGAAATCAATGTACTTCAGCAAGTGCCTTTATGGAATTATTTCTGACATGTTCTCCAAGATAAATAATTTTACCATAGAAGCTTGCATTGTGGGTTTATTAGTGACCACTCATTTCAGTTGGTGCAGTGAAAATGAGTTTTGTTGTTCTTGTTAGTCAGCAGAAAATTACAGTGATGATAAGCCCTTTATGAAGATGTGGCTTTCATTAAAAAGAAAAGAAAACCTAATTGAAAGTCACTGTAAATTTGGAATGATTAATTTCATGCCAAATAAGTCATTAAAGATCTCTGATGGATATAAAAAACCAATCATTTGCAAAATTACAAAGACTAAATTCAATCTAGATAACTTTTCTATTTTTTTTTAAATTTGTGTATTGGAACAAATATAAATTACAAATTGTGGAATATTAACATAATAGCCTTTTATTATAGGTAGCTTGCTACAGCTTTGAGGCTCTAAATAGTGATTGAGAGTACTTTCCTCTGAATACTGTCATCTTACTTGATCATCTTTGTATAGACCATGCTTATTTTATTTTACTTTGATTCTTTCCCAGTTATAATATATCTACTTCAAGTTATTTCTTTTTTAAAATATTTACTTATTTGAAAGTCAGTATTACACAGAGAGAAGGGGACAGAAAGAATGAGAGAGAGATAGATCTTCTGTCTACTGGTTAACTTCTCAAATGCTCACAATACCAATACCGGGGCTGGGCCAGGCCAAATCCAGGAGCCAGGAACTCCAGCCCATCTCTGACATGGGTGGCAGGTGCCCAAGTGCTTGATCCATTTTCTGCTGCTTTCCCAGGCACATTAACAGGGAGCTGGATTGGAAGTGGAGTAGCCAGGACTTGAACCAGGGCCCACATGGGATGCAGGCGTTGCAGGCAGAGGCTTTACATGATATGCTGCAACTCCAGCTTATATATTATTTTACTCAGTGTTATTTTAAACTTACAAAAAAGTCATGCATCTTCTGTTTTTATTTTAAAAATAAACACCCACACACACCCAAATGTATATTTCTTTTAAATGTTATAAACCACAGACCCCAAGCCCTTTTTAGAAAAACAAAGACAGAATTAATAAGCTTTCTCCCAAAGTACCGCCAATTTTCCCCTATAAAAAATAAAAGTAGGGGCCAGTGCTGTGGCTTAGTGGGTAAAGCCACCACCTGCAGTGCTGGCATCCCATGTGGGCACCAGTTCCAGTCCTGGCTGCTCCGCTTCTAATTCAGCTCTCTGCTATGGCCTGAAAAAGCAGTGGAAGATGGCCCAATTCTATGGGCCCCTGTACCCATGGGGGAGACCCCTGGCTTTGGATTATCCCAGCTCTGAGCATTGCAGCCATTTAGGGAGTGATCCAGGGGATGGAAGACATCTCTCTCTATGCCTTTCTCTCTCTGTAACTCTGCCTTTCAAATAAATAAATAAATGAACCTTTAAAAAAATAAATAAATAAAAGCTCACTGGAAATCAATATTGTTTATCATACAACTGTGCTTTTTAAAAATATTTTATATATTTCATATTATTTTTATATTTATTCAATATATATTCTGTATTTTTTATATTATTTGAAAGGCAGGTTAAAGAGAGAGGTAGAGACAGAAAGAGAGAGGTCTGCCATCCAATGACTCACTCTCCAAGTGGCCGCAATGACCCAGACTGGGCCAGGCCAAAGCCAGGGGCCAGGAGCTTTTTCCAGGTCTCCCACATGGGTGCAGGGACCCAAGCACTTGAGCCATCCTCTGATGCTTTCCCAGGTGCATTAACAGGGAGCTAGATAGGAAATGGGGTAGCCAGGACTCGACCTGATGCCCGCTATGGGCGGGGCTTTTAACCACAGTGCCACAGCACAGGCCCCAACTCTGTGCTTTTAACAGTAGGTATAATATACTGAATCCAGAATACTCGTTGTATTTAAAATAATTAAAATGTTTTCAGGTCCAGATCTGTAGGTACAAGATACCCTCCCCTATGAAACTTTTCTTATGGGATGCACAGAAGACAAATTGCATTTGTAATAGTGTAAAATGAAATTGTCTGGTTTTTATTAAATGAATCTTGACATGTAACATGTTCTACTGTTTTGGAGGAACTAATCAAGTTAAAAGAGACCTGAAAAAATTGCTCATCATGATGACTGAACTGATTGTTAGCTGGTCAACTATAATTTAGTAGTTATATTGGGAAGAATCGCTTGATTTCAAGTTTAAGTTCTAGGTAGTCTTTGTAAGCAAGAATAAACCAACAGCCCAACAGCCCAACTTTGTTCTTGTCACATACTTTAACTACTTAATTTCCAAGAACAGCATTCTTTAGTACCATTTAGGCTTTAAAATCAGCTTCAGTTATAGCAGGGTAATGTAACAGCATCATTTAAGTGAACGGCTTTTAATTCTATATTTACCATTCTGCACGTTATTGATTTTATTCTTTGGTGTTGTTCCTTGCAGAGAGTGAATCTGTCCTTCGATTTTCCATTTTATGGCCATTTCCTACGTGAAATCACTGTGGCAACTGGGGGTAAGTGCTTCTCTACCATTCACCTTAAATAATCTACAGTTTTATTGCTGTTATTATTTTTAATTTACCCCATATTTCAGGAGGAATATTTATTGGAAAAACCATTGTCTTCTATCAGAAACTGATGGGCATAAATAAAACCCAGGAAAGAATATACCTACTGAAAAAACTTTTCAGCAGAAAATATATAATAATTATAACCATTTTCAGTTTAGATTTGCTACTGCTTTCCTTGTAAACTTTAATTCATTCTTTGGCGGTATGGTGAGACTGCAAAATTGGCAGAAATTGGAGTAGGGTTAGAAAGAAAAGATATTTAAGGAAGTTCTGTAGTTTTATTTCTTTTCACACTTGTGGTTGATAGCTATATACTCACACAATTACATACTTTTTTAAAATATGTATGTATGTATGTATTTGAAGGGCATAGTTACACACACACACACACACACATACAGATAGAGAAATTTCCAACTGCTGGTTCACTCCCCACATGGCCACAATGGTTGGGGTTGGGGCTGCTCAAAGCCAGAAGCCAAGAAATCCATCTGTATCTCCCATATGAATGGCATGGGCCCAAGCACTTGGACCATCCTCAGTTGCTTTCCCACGCTTTATAATAAGAAATATCAGTAAGCCAATAAAACTTTCTTTGAGCGTGTGCTCTGTGCAGTGGTAGATAATGGCTACCTCTGCTCAGGAGTGTGTGACCATATGGGTAGACAAGGTGAAGCAGAGTGAAGGAAGTGTTTAGAAGATGCAAAGCATGAAATACAAGTTGCTATGGGTAATAAAGTTGAAATACCTCGAAGAGTCATATAAGATTTTACAGAGAATTTCTTATTTAAGATAGTTCTTGGAGGATGTTACTGAATCTGTGGTTGTGTAGAAAGGAAGTGTCAGACAGGAATATCTACAATAAATATACGGAAGAGGAAGTGAGCAGAGTATGTCTGGCACAGTGAATAATTGAGACTGAGTGAAATCAAGGATGTTTCCTAATACTGCAGTGTATTAAAATTAGAAAAGCAAGTTGGAATAATTTTATATAATGTCTTAAAAGATCAGTTTGAGTCATTAGCCCTAAATTAAGTAAATAATGAAGTCTAAAAAAAAACCCAGTGATTTTGTTTATTGAAAGGCAGAGTGATGGAGAGAGGAGAGAAGGGAGACAGAGACAGAGAGTGATGTCTTTCATCCACTTGTTGATTCCACAAATGGCTGAAACAGCCAGGGCTAGACCAGACTAAAGCCAGGAGCCAGGAACTCCATCCTGTTCTCCCACATGAGTGGCAGGGGCCCAAGTACTTGGGCCATCTTCTGCTGCCTTCCTAGGGGTATTAGCAGAGAGCTGAATTAAAAGTGCAAAAGCCAGGACTCAAGCAGTTATCACAGTATAGGATGCAGGCATTGTAAGCAGAGGCTCAACCCAGTGCACCACATCATGGCCTCTAACAAATACATCTTAAAAACAAATATGTCTAGTATTCTCATGTAACTTAAGCCCTTCCTCCTGCATAATTTCTCATTTTCTTTTAAATATTGTAATGGCCATAAGAACTTCCTCTTTTTTAAAAAGTTTTATTTATTTATCTATCTATCTATCTATCTATCTATCTATCTGTCTGTCTGTCTGTCTATCCATCTGAAAAGCAGAGTGATAGAGAAAGAGGGAGAGTTATGTAGAGGAATCTTCTATACTCTAGTTCACTCCCCCAAATGGCCTCAATGGCAGAGGATGAGCTAGACTGAAGCCGGAGTCAGGAACTCCATCTGGGTCTCCCATCTGCATGGCAAGTCCTTCCTTCGCTTTCCCAGGTGCATTAGCAGGGAACTGGATTGGCATTGGAGCAACTAAGACATGAACTGGTTCTCAAGGGTTGCCAGCATTGCAGGCAGCAGCTTAACCTACTGCACAAAAATGCCAGCCCCCTCTTATATACTTTCAGTTATGTCTATATTATTTGAAATATTTTATACCATGTAAATATTATACAAGATGAAATCTATGCATAGAAAGGGTCTTCAAAAAGTTATTGGAAAATGAATTTTACTAAAATCCTATGTATGAAATTCAAAATTTTTGTGCCCAAATAAGCTTACCTTTTAATTCCATTTTCCATTAACTTTTTTTTAAAGATTTTTATTTATTTATTTATTGGAGAGTTAGAGTTACATTCAGTGAGAAGGAGAAACAGAGAGAAAGTTCTTCCGTCCGCTGGTTCACTCCCCAAATGACTGCTACGGCCAGAGGGGTGCCACTCCAAAGCCAGGAGTCAGGAGCTTCCTCCAGTCTCCCACATGGGTGCAGGGGCCCAAGATGGGCCATCTTCTACTGCTTTCCCAGGCCATAGCAAAAAAGCTGGATTGGAAGTGGAGCAGCTGGGACTAGAACCGGCAGCGCCCATATGGGATGCTGGCTCCTCAGGCCAGGGCATTAACCCACTGTGCCACAGTGCCGGCCCCTCCATTAACTTTTAAAAATATTTTCATAGTTGTGATATTGTATTGTTTAAGAAGTGATGACACAAAAGTCTGTATATGGTCACTACAGATGTAATTTTTTTCTCAAATATTTTCTGTCCATGGTTGATTGAATCCATGGATATGGAACCAGTAGATACGAAGGACTGACTTTAGCTTGCTTACTCTTTCATTGTTCATTCAGTCAATAAGGACTTTCATAGAAGCACTATACAGGATGCTTCCATGTATACAAAGGATAGTATGGCTCCCATCTTGGAGTTTAGACTCTAAGAAGAGGACCTGGAAATTAAAGAAGCTGACTGGAGGGGGTGCTGGCACAGAAGGTGGCTTATGTAGGAAATCCTTGTTGGATCAGTCACGAGCAGGTTCACAAAAGAGCTAAGGTTGGGGCCAGAATGTGGCATGGTGGGGTAAGGGGCTGCCTGCAACGTTGGCATCCCATATGGGCACCATTTTGTTTCCTGGAACTCCACTTCTGATCCAGCTCCCTGCTAATGTGCCTAGGAAAACAGTGGAAGATGCACAAGTGCTTGGGTCCCTGCCCCTACCAGAGAGATCTGGAAGAAGCTCTTGGCTCCTCGCTTCAGCATGGCCCAGCCCTGGCCTTTGTGGTCACTTGGAGAAGTGAACCAGCAGATGGCAGCTCGCTCGCTCGCTCTCTCTCTCTCTCTCTTTCTCTCTCCTCTTTCTCTGTCTCTCCCTCTCTTCTCTCTGTCACTCTGCCTTTCAAATAAATAAATTAAAAAAAAAAGGAAAGAGCTAATATTTGACATTGACCTTAAAGATAGGATTTTAGTAGGCAAAGAGGCAGTTTGAGAAAAGGGTAGGAGAAGGAATGACATTCCAGATGCAGGGATAAGGAGCTAAGTGACAGTACTGAGCCTGTGTGTTTGGAAGCTGTCAAATGTACCACTTTATCTTGAATGGAGGGTTGAGATATGAGTCTAGTGAAAGAGAGGTGGGAGAGGGAGTGATGTAGAGCCCTTAGAACCTTAGGAATTTGAATGGTACCCAGCAAACATCGGGGTTTTTTTGGAGGAGACCTAGTTCTGGCCTGACCTGACAGTGGAGGGCAGAGCAGGCTGAGGAGGAAAATGGCCAACAAAGAATTACCAGGTTTTTCAGGACATGTGTATGGGTTATAGTGCCTGAGCCAGGATGGCCGCAGTGGGAAGGGGGAGAAGGAGCTGGCACAAGACACATCATGTGAGCTGTTTCATCACTGAGGTTCGAATGGCTTAAAACCCAAAAGGACCCATTAGGATGCAGCAGGTGAAGCTAAGAGCGGCTCAGTGGACTTCGGAACCACACACCTTCCATGGCTCTCTCCTGTGATTGACTGGATGTTGTACGGACAGACCTATTTGACAAATGTTCACTGGCCTACAAATCTTACAAAGGTTATTCAGCATGGAAGTCTTGGAAGGAAAAGAATTCACAAATCAGGTTGAATAAAGCTGACTGCAGACCATTGCAAACAGAACGGGGGCTGAGATTTTTTAAGTAGGAACACATAGGTTTCAATTCTATTGCCTGTCAGTTCTCTTTGACTTTGTCTGCAGATTCCTCTTACATCTGTTTCTGCATTGGATGTGGGAACAAACAAAATCAAACATGTTCATGGTAAATACAAGCTGTGCAAATAAATAAAGCGGATACTTTAAGCCACAGTTCCCCTTTATCTTACCTCACTACTCAGCCATTTCCCACGCTTCCTTTAAAACACTCTCCCTCTCTCTCCTCCCTCCCCCCAACACACAGACATCTATTTAAGACTGAAATTCACTTCAAGATAATCCTGTGCCATTGTTAGGATCAACACTAACAATTTCAAAACAGAAGTAGTTTAAAAATACAGACATAGGGGCAGGTGCTTAGCACAGTTAAGGTGCTGCTTTGGACTCCCCCATCTCATACTGGAATGCCTAGGTTCAAGTCCTGACTATACTGCCTATTCTAGCTTCCTGCTATGACACAACCTGGGAAGCAACAGGTGATGGCTAAAATGCTTGGACCCCTAGGACCCAGGTGGAACACTTGGTTTGAGTCCCAGGCCCTTCCTGGCTTTGGCCTGGCCTAATCTCAGCTCTTGTGGCATCTGGGGTGTGAATCAGTAGATGGATGATCTTTCTCTAAGTTGCTGTTTCAGATAAAAATGAAAATAAATGAATATAAGCATATATGAATGAGTAATAAATGAGTACAGGCATACATATGAGTGGCATTTGGCTTAACAGTTAAGACAGTGCTTGTTATGCCTGTCTTACAGCAGAGGTCCTGGGATCTCATCCCAGCTCTAATTCCAAATCGTAGCTTCCTGCTAAGGTGTATCTTGGGAGGCAGCAGGTGATGGCCCAGTTACTGGGTTTCTACCACCCAGGTTGGAGACCTGAATTGAGTTTTGGGCTCCTGGCTTCTGTCTCCACTTGTGCTCAACCCCAGCATTGCATGCAATTAGAAAATGAATTGATGCATGAAATCTCTCTATATTTCTGTCTGTCTATGAAATAAAT